TCACATCTCTTAAATTTGCTTACTTAATTTACTATTTTAACATGATATTTTCGTCGTTTTAATATTCTAACCATTCTTTAAAACCATTTACTTCCCCACCATCTCTCTGTTCCGTTGATACCTCTTTATTTTCCAGTCCGCTCGCCACGTTCGGTTCCAACCATCTGTCTCCCTCCACCGCGTCCCAAACCATTTTCCTTTCCCCGTTTTTTTTTTCTTCTTTTTTTTTCTTTTTCGCGTCCTTTTCCAATACGCTGACATTTTTGCATCCTGTTCCAACACACTGTAATGTTTCTCTTCTGTCCCACCCCACTTTCTTTCCCCCACCCCGTTCTGTTCCAATAGCTTTTCTTTTTCCCTGTCCTTCCCAATCATCTTTCTTTTTCCCGTGCAGTTCCACCTGCCCTTTCTCTTTATTCATCTCTTTTTTTTTTTTTTTTTTTTTACATCACACTCCTCCCCACTTTCTCCTTTATTTAATTTCCTTCTTTTTCGCCTCTAGTTCGTTTTCTTAAATTCCTTCTGTCCATTCATTTACCTTGTGCGGACCTTTAGCCTAACGGTCAGTGTCTAGATAGACATATGTAGATATTGACATATATATAACTATTTACATCTATGCCAGAATTGTGTGAGAAAAGAGTATACATCAGACTGAATTGAAATTCATGAATATTAATATAAATATTAGATGAAGATGGATGGTGACATACTACCAAACAACACTGTCGGGCACTTTTTCAGTGATTTACATAAAAGGCTATAACATACAGAATTGTACTTTTCTTACAGCAATTTCTTAAACAAAATATACTTTTTCGTATTAAATAGATAGTAATCAATATTAATTTCATTATCTCTCTCTATCTATCTATCTATATATATATATATATATATTTTTTTTTTTCAAGGTATGCTTTATTTGTGTGTTATAAAGCTCAAGATCAGGGATAGAGCATGTGACCATAAGCAGATTACGTTTAAGCATGAAACAGACTCTCACTGCTGGGTGTTAACCTCAATAGCAAATTCATATATATATATATATATATATATATAAAAACATATTTGTATTATTTATATGAGTTAACAAAAAAATAGGATTTGATTATTTATGTAATGAATGGCAATTTATTTTATACCAATGTAGTATCTGTTCATGCTATCTGACTCATTCGATGCCAGTACTTTTACAATTTTGCACAAGCAGAACAACGTGGATTTATCGGTTGTGTATTTCGCTTTTAGAGCGGACGTTTCAGTCATGAAGGAATTCATTTAATGCATGTTGTATAACAGGCTTTTGGTGGATACAAAGAAAATATCACGTTATACATATATGAACATGTATGTGTACAGATATTTTCTAAATATATTTGCGCTTAAAAGCATTAATATTTTCACTACTTTAAACGTCATTTGAGTGGATGCCATATGTCAGATTAATAAACAATAATCCATTTATTCGTTAGAAATGATTTGTATACCTTTCCGATAGAAAACTGAGCTGTTATGAACTTTCGAAGATCTAAACCATGAAAAGTGTGCTTAAAGGGCAAAATAGAACCTTGCTTAATTACATTCTTTGCAGCGAAGATGGCTAAAGCAACTCTGACCTAGCGACGGTTTCACGTTAATTTTTTTCTCTATAAATGTTTTGTTGAAGGCCCAGGCCGGTAGACGAATTAAACATACAGTTTAAAATGAATGAATAAACGGAACGTCTATTCAAATATGGTTATCTAGTAAAAATAACGTTAAAAGTCATAAAAATACGTCGGATTAATAAATGAAATTATATTATTTCTTTAAAAACATTACTATGTTTTTGATCTAGTAACATATTTACTCAATTTTAATTTTTTTTTTTTTTTTTGGAACTTTATCTTCTCCATGCTAAAACCAAATATATTGTGTAGCATATCTTTAGAAGTTCAAATTTATAAATTCCCTGTTGAAATATTAAGCTAAATACTAGATTTACGACTTCATTTTTTTCAAAACTGGTCTCTTTAGAGTAGGGATTTGTCAAGTAATAAATTCTTCCTATAGTTGTGTATTACAACGGGCTTTTGATTTATTAGTGTCCTGAAGAATTTGAATTAACAGAAACAGTTGTACTTTATTATCAAATACAATGTTGTTTATAGATTTATCACACACGATCGTGAACTGCTTTAATTCAGATAATGAGACATTTATCTTTTATGGAAAATTTTACTCCATTCTGTGTTACCATAACAAAGTTATTATCGCTAATAATTTACTTTTAGTTATTTATTTCTGACTGTTTTTCCTCTGATTATTTTTTAATCACTTCAGCAAGTCGATAATGTCATTAAGACGCAAATACATTAGAATGAATCGAAAACCAAAACCCAAAGAAGAAGCACAGGATAAATCTCTGCTCCTGTCAAAAATACCAAAAAGCTGTTTGAAGCGAACGAAAGGCGAACGTGTCTACTGTTTTTGAGAGAATAAATAAATAAATAGTAAAAACAGAGTTGAGACAGAGGCGTTAGATGTTGAGGAATAAAATAGACTTTAGAAGGAACGGGATATTCATTTCTAAGCAAGAGACAATGGATACATTATTAATCCCTTTCCAAATATCGGAGAGAAGTGTGAACCGGCCGTCAGTCGAACTTATCCACTCAGATTTCAACATGACGTAAAAAGAAGGTTTATTTCTGATTGTAAAATAACATGTAATATTACTTCTCTTTTTCAATAGTTGACTAGTGTGGGGCTCCTCGTAAAGACCGAATTAATTAGTCAATGGCTTTACAGTTTGTGGATAAGCTTTCAGGAAGCAGAAAAATATATCGGGGAGAATATTCAATGTCGAACGTTAAATTATCCGAGTATTTCGACCATTTCCTCTCATTATTACGAATGTTAGCAGAGCTATAGAAGAAAAACGTACATTTGGAATCATCGTGGCATTTTTAGAAAGTCGAAAATTGTAAGGTCAATATACTTCTATCGGAAATCATAAGCATATCTTGTAAGTAGTGTTGGTTTGTAACTAGATGAAAGAGACAAAGATTTTTGGTGAGAAAACTGAAATAAATAACCATATAATCAAACACTCAGTTATGCACCATTCATGATACACGCTTAGGCGATCATGTATCGTTACATGACTTATGAGGCATATTTTTCCCGCAGTAGGTTGCCATTTCTTCCTGCGGTAGAGCAGTTGCCATCCAAGTCTATAGAACTGCCTTATGCTGTTATTTACCCATAGCTAGGGAAGAAAATGAGGAATCATACCTTTCTCAAGGGTATTAGCACGTAAGTGAACGTAATGGATTTGATTGGTATTCGAAATAGGCTCTCCGATTCCTTAATCCAAGCCGCTATACATCACTCATATACTCCTACTCCGTGCCTCCTATAATGTTTGGTTTCTATGTCGTAGGATTACGCATTGTTAAGATTAGTAAATTAATGTTTTGAAAATAAATATTTAACATTTGTTCAAAGAAAAGGTTGCAGTCCAGCAAAATAAATAAATAAATAATCATAAGTTCTCCGCGATCCCTCTGAAAATATTTAAACAAATTTTCTAGACGGGCAAACAAGATGGAGAGACAACGGGAACAGGTCACAATACTAGATTCAAAAGGAAGTTACTTGCACATTCACCAGTCTTTCTTAGAAAGGTATGAGACACTTACACTTACATCATTTCCGCATTATTTTTTTTTTTTTTGTCACGCACACATACGAAGAAATAAAATTTCTTTTCATCTTACAAGGAAATGATTGTAAGGGGCTTCATCACTCATCCGGGCTAAAAAGATTTAGTTATAATAAACACAAAAATAAAAATATATTATTCTTTTTTTCTTATTATGTGAACATCTTTTTCGCCTTTTTCATTGTTAAGGTTTGGTTTAGTTTTACGGTAATATTTTGCATAGTCAAAAAAACAAACCCTAACAGGTGCTACCACCCTGGGTAAGGATGGACCTGGGAACACAAGCATTTAAGAGGTGGTTCCACGCTCCTCAAAACCTCCTGATCAGAGCCCTTGCTTTTTTATCATATTACCCTAGACGCGGTTTATCGGCGTTGTTACATGTTTATTCAAGTTCACAACAGATTTAAAAAAGAAAAAAAAAAATGGAACATAAAAAATGCACATCACCTGAAAAAGAACAATTTTTTTTGGCAATTTTAAAATGCATTGTACAATGCTCCGTTGGATTTCAATAATTAAATTATTTTTAATGAAATATGCCAGGTCTGGAAGAGAATTTAAATACATGGAGTATATTACAGATAATTTAGATATAGTTATATTTTAGGATAATTTAATATTCCTATGTATATGTTAAACTTTATATATGTTAATACTTGCATATATGACCAACAAATAGGATAGAACCAGTGAATATCCTGCTTAAAATGCAACGCCTGTATAAGTGTTCTACACTCACAGATGCCAAATAGAAAATCTATTCTTTCGTTTTGTGTCTGTGTGTCTGGTGCGCAGAATACGAACACTTGTCTCGTTTTCAAACAGTACGATTTTCAGCTGAAACTAAATTAGTAAGAATTAAAATATAATAGGCGTGGTAGGTAAGTTTATATACTGCCGAAACGATGAATAATTAACACTTCAAGCTTAGATAAATGTTTTAATTCAAATCATGTTAAAACCCCGCAACAAGAAAAATTGTATATGATTTTGAGGATGAGTACTGGCAATTTCTTCAATTGACTAAAAAAATATTGAATACAAAGTAAATAAATAGAACTTACTATAACGTTTTATTTGTTCAATTGGTTAGCATTTTGAAGTGGATTGTGCCGACATGTTTTCACCAACCACTTATATCAAAAGTAGATTTATTTTTATTTCTATATTTTTTTTTCAAAAATAACTTTTGTTATTTTGTGTATGAGAGTTGGGTGGGATCTTATACACAATGAATAAAATCCCCACAACGTGTGTGTGTGTGTCTATATATCTCTGACACTTTCTGTGCATGTATCTCTCTGCGTGTGTCTGTGTCGCTCTCTCTCTCTCTCTGCGTGTGTCTGTGTCGCTCTCTCTCTCTCTGCGTGTGTCTGTGTCGCTCTCTCTCTCTCTCTGCGTGTGTGTGTGTCGTTCTCTCTCTCTCTTCGTGTGTGTGTGTCGCTCTCTCTCTCTCTGCGTGTGTGTGTGTCGCTCTCTCTCTCTCTGCGTGTGTGTGTGTCGCTCTCTCTCTCTCTGCGTGTGTGTGTCGCTCTCTCTCTCTCTGCGTGTGTGTGTGTCGCTCTCTCTCTCTCTGCGTGTGTGTGTGTCGCTCTCTCTCTGCGTGTGTGTGTGTCGCTCTCTCTCTGCGTGTGTGTGTGTCGCTCTCTCTCTGCGTGTGTGTGTGTCGCTCTCTCTCTGGGTGGGTGTGTGTCGCTCTCTCTCTGCGTGTGTGTGTGTCGCTCTCTCTCTCTCTGCGTGTGTGTGTGTCGCTCTCTCTCTGCGTGTGTGTGTGGCGCTCTCTCTCTCTGCGTGTGTGTGTGGCGCTCTCTCTCTGCGTGTGTGTGTGGCGCTCTCTCTCTGCGTGTGTGTGTGTCGCTCTCTCTCTGCGTGTGTGTGTGTCGCTCTCTCTCTGCGTGTGTGTGTGTCGCTCTCTCTCTGCGTGTGTGTGTGTCGCTCTCTCTCTCTGCGTGTGTGTGTCGCTCTCTCTCTGCGCGTGTGTGTGTCGCTCTCTCTCTGCGCGTGTGTGTGTCGCTCTCTCTCTCTCTCTGCGTGTGTGTGTGTCGCTCTCTCTCTCTCTCTCTGCGTGTGTGTGTGTCGCTCTCTCTCTCTCTCTGCGTGTGTGTGTGTCGCTCTCTCTCTCTCTCTGCGTGTGTGTGTGTCGCTCTCTCTCTCTCTCTCTCTGCGTGTGTGTCGCTGTATAAGTGCGTGTGCCTCTGTCTTCCATTATGTCTCTATCTGACTTTTCTGTGTCATGCTCTTTGTGTGTGTGTGCGTCATGCTCTTTGTGTGTGCGTCATGCTCTTTGTGTGTGTGTGTCATGCTCTTTGTGTGTGTGTGTCATGCTCTTTGTGTGTGTGTGTCATGCTCTTTGTGTGTGTGTGTCATGCTCTTTGTGTGTGTCATGCTCTTTGTGTGTGTCATGCTCTTTGTGTGTGTCATGCTCTTTGTGTGTGTCATGCTCTTTGTGTGTGTGTGTCATGCTCTTTGTGTGTGTGTGTCATGCTCTTTGTGTGTGTGTGTCATGCTCTTTGTGTGTGTGTGTCATGCTCTTTGTGTGTGTGTGTCATGCTCTTTGTGTGTGTGTGTCATGCTCTTTGTGTGTGTCATGCTCTTTGTGTGTGTCATGCTCTTTGTGTGTGTCATGCTCTTTGTGTGTGTGTGTCATGCTCTTTGTGTGTGTGTGTCATGCTCTTTGTGTGTGTGTGTCATGCTCTTTGTGTGTGTGTGTCATGCTCTTTGTGTGTGTGTGTCATGCACTTTGTGTGTGTGTGTCATGCTCTTTGTGTGTGTGTCATGCTCTTTGTGTGTGTGAGTGTGTCATGCTCTTAGTGTGTGTGTGTGTGTCATGCTCTTAGTGTGTGTGTCCCTCTCTTATTCTACGCTCGTTGTTAAGTAATATTCAAATTTTACTTTAAATCTGTGGATATTTTTTACTCGCTGAGGATCTAACTTTAACATAAGATGTCTACATAAATACTGAATTTATTATATGCTAAAACGAAAAGCAAACCTAAAATGAATAGATGGGGTTGATATGCGGCTGATATATTTGGATAAATTCCACTTGGTGAAGTATTTCAGCAGAAGTTAACAGCGATGATTTACATTACATGTTTTGTAGCGCATGTAAGATGCTTCCCTTTGAAACTGGAAAAAGATCCAAGCTAACCGATTTCATCTATCTTTTTCTCATATAGCAGTAACCAATGTAAATTTAATAAATATTAGAAATGTCTGGGTTACTGTGGTGGGACTCGAGCTAAGAACACTCTACGAATTTGTGCCCGTGGAGATGTGTATAAACGGAACCAAATAATCAGGCTGACTGCCCTCGACAGCGAAAGGAAGCCGACTCTCAGCAAGTTTCAACGAATCTCCGAACAGCACGCGATTTGCTGTTTAATTTAGGCTACCGACCGTAATCTATGTTCTAACTGTCTAGATCCTCATCAGCCGTCGGCATAACTTTAGTACCACCCTCAGCTTCTATTAACTTTATTCACCCGCCTTTTAGTGACCCTGAACACAATGTTTTCTTGCTTTTATTTGCAGTCGAAAATCGGCGAATATAAAGGCTCCTTATTTACGCTGCTTATGTCGACTTTTTTTTTTTTTAAAGACTTCTCTTTTTTTCTTTGTAATCGTCTTTGTAACCAGACCCATGCTAAGCACGTGCAACTTACAGAAAACAAATTCTTTTTTTTTTTTTTTTACAACATACCTAATTTTATAAAAAAAAACAACCTTTTTTAAATCTCTTCACCCGGTCGAAATTTCATCATTCACATCTGACATATTGTAATTCAGTTGCTGCAGCCTATCTCACTCCCTCAACATAGTTCTCTGCTCACAAGTTGTTTTTTTTTTTTTTTTTTTTATTTCAAGTGTTCCTGTTTCGAACAAATATATTCCAATGAAGTTCTTTAACTTTTTCGCAATCATCGACAATTTATTATTTTAATATCTGTTACATGGAACTCGAAATCACTCTTTGACCGAAAAGTATCTTTTCCGTCATTTTTAGCCTTTTCTTCTTCTTTCGACAAATAAACTTCAACTTTTTTGCGGTAAAAAAAAAAAAATCTGACGAATTGTTGCTTCTCATTCACTTTTTCACAAACTCACTCGCACTCTAATTCTTTCTCTTTCTCTCTGCCTCTCTAAATCTCACACACTCACTCTCTCTCTCTCTCTCCATCTGTCACACAATTATTCAGTTTTTAACTCTCTCTCATTCTAGTTTTCTCTCTCATTCTAGTTCTCTCGGTGTCTCTCACTCGCTCCGTCTGTGTGTGTGTGTGTCTCTCACTCGATGACTCTCTCTCACTCGATGACTCTCTCTCACTCGATGACTCTCTCTCACTCGATGACTCTCTCTCACTCGATGACTCTCTCTCACTCGATGACTCTCTCTCCCTCTCGATGACTCTGTCTCCCTCTCGATGACTCTAACTCTGTCTCCCTCTCGATGACTCTAACTCTGTCTCCCTCTCGATGACTCTAACTCTGTCTCCCTCTCGATGACTCTAACTCTGTCTCCCTCTCGATGACTCTGACTCTGTCTCTCTCTCGATGACTCTAACTCTCTCTCGATGACTCTAACTCTGTCTCGATGACTCTAACTCTGTCTCTCTCTCGATGACTCTAACTCTGTCTCTCTCTCGATGACTCTAACTCTGTCTCTCTCTCGATGACTCTAACTCTGTCTCTCTCTCGATGACTCTAACTCTGTCTCTCTCTCGATGAATCTAACTCTGTGTCTCTCTCTCTCGATGAATCTAACTCTGTCTCTCTCTCGATGACTCTAACTCTGTCTCTCTCTCTCTCACTCAATGTCTAACTCTCTCTCTCACTCAATGTCTAACTCTGTCTCTCTCACTCAATGTCTAACTCTGTCTCTCTCACTCAATGTCTAACTCTGTCTCTCTCACTCAATGTCTAACTCTGTCTCTCTCTCTCACTCAATGTCTAACTCTGTCTCTCTCTCTGTCTCTCTCTCTCTGTCTCTCTCTCTGTCTCTCTCTCTGTCTCTCTCTCTCTCTCACTCAATGTCTAACTCTGTCTCTCACTCAATGTCTAACTCTGTCTCTCACTCAATGTCTAACTCTGTCTCTCACTCAATGTCTAACTCTGTCTCTCACTCAATGTCTAACTCTGTCTCTCACTCAATGTCTAACTCTGTCTCTGTTTCTCTCTCTCTCACTTAATGTCTAAGTCTGTCTCTGCCTCTCTCTCTCTCTCTCTCACTCAATGTCTAAGTCTGTCTCTGTCTCTGCCTCTCTCTCTCTCTCACTCAATGTCTAAGTCTGTCTCTGTCTCTGCCTCTCTCTCTCACTCACTCAATGTCTAAGTCTGTCTCTCTCTCTCTCCTCAAATGTCTAAGTCTGTCTCTCTCTCTCTCTCTCTCAGTAATGTCTAAGTCTGTCTCTCTCTCTCTCACTCAATGTCTAAGTCTGTCTCTCTCTCTCTCTCTCACTCAATGTCTAAGTCTGTCTCTCTCTCTCTCTCTCACTCAATGTCTAAGTCTGTCTCTCTCTCTCTCTCTCTCACTCAATGTCTAAGTCTGTCTCTCTCTCTCTCTCTCTCACTCAATGTCTAAGTCTGTCTCTCTCTCTCTCTCTCACTCAATGTCTATGTCTGTCTCTCTCTCTCTCTCACTCAATGTCTAAGTCTGTCTCTCTCTCTCTCTCTCTCACTCAATGTCTAAGTCTGTCTCTCTCTCTCTCTCTCTCACTCAATGTCTAAGTCTGTCTCTCTCTCTCTCTCTCTCTCACTCAATGTCTAAGTCTGTCTCTCTCTCTCTCTCTCACTCAATGTCTAAGTCTGTCTCTCTCTCTCACTCAATGTCTAAGTCTGTCTCTGTATAACACACAAACACATACACGGTGCTACCCTACTTCCATCGAGAATAGAAGTGCTCTGTATCTTTTGATCTGTCAATGTTAATCATTATTTCCCCCTCTCTCATCAGATCATTTTTACACATATCTTGCATTCACTCCTCATGGAGAAGAACACAGTTTTATTTTATACCGGGAAAACGCTATGTCGGTCTAGATAGTGTAATATACAGATGCTCGGAACCAGAATTTTGGTTGAGACTCTTACATGAATTTTCGCGAAAATACCATTGTTAAAAGTATGACTCTATTTTTTTTTAACAGCTATGGGTTAAAGGGTAGGGCATAGAGAATATCTATTCACGATTGGCAAGCTGTATGCGAGAAATTCATTACTATTGTTACTAGATTATATCCCTGGGACTCAATGTATGTACTGAAAAAATACCCAGAAATTCTTAGAAGTCGAGAGATTACACTTGATTTATAAAGATTTGATTCATTTGAACAACATTTCTAGTTTTAAATAAGTGAAACATATCTTTTGAATGTTATTAGGTGCATATCTCTACATGGACATCGGGAACAGGTATTAGACTATTAACTTTCCGAATACCACGGGATGACACAAGCCCTGTGAGTGAAACTGGATAGACGGGACTATTGAGTTGTCGTCGATGGTTGTGTTAGCACGAAGTTACAAGTCATCGTCACCGAGAATTTGAGCGTACTGGCGTTGTTCAAACTGCTGATCTTGACATATTACGCGTTTTCTTCTAGAAAATCTAAAAATGGTCCACTCAATATAATTGCAGTATAAACCAGAAGTGTGCCGTGAGGGTGTTAAGCAAATAAAATTGAGCTTAAACAGGTGTCAGCAAAATGGCCTGGCTAGTCGCCCTAGCTAAGTATGCTCAATAACTGAGAGTAGTCATTCAATCTCTGTATATCACCGTTTAACAATAACATGAATTGAAGGAAGTTATGTTGTTAATGTCAACCTAAAATCAAGTTATTTAAATGCAGTTCATGAGCTCAGATTATTATGCATTCTGCGGTAAATATGTGGCAGACATATTTATATCTTTTTCTGGGAAATTATTTATTCGTTTGCATTTGTTATTTGATAAGTTGTAAAAAAAAAAAAACATGTTAAAGAAAAGGCAGATGAAAACGAATAAAAAAATAAAATTGAAATAAGCACATCTGTACACAGGCTGAGAAAGATTCGAAATGCAGATAAAAGATTAAAAAAATAAAAACACTATGGATTATGTAAAGTGATACCTCGATAAAATTTTGCCTGACGAAAAAGTTCAGTTCGCATAGTCTGGAACAAGGCCCAAAACCTTGTCACAACATGAAGGTGGGATCTATGAATTGCTTAATTGTTACTAGACATTCCCATAGACACAAAAAAGTTGTTAGACATTTTTCCAGTTTATATATATATATATATATATATATATATATATATATATATATATATATATATATATATATATATATATTTGTGTGTGTGTTTTTCAAATTAATCAAAACCAATAAATATATAAACTAAGTAAATAACAAATATATATTAAATACGAGTGCTTACATATACACGAGTATAATTAATAGCTAGAACCAACAATAAATAAACAAGTTAAAAAACAAATCTACAAATAGTCACATCACCACTTTAATAAACTTTCACGTTCTTTTCTTTTCTCCTCAACTATCTTACATTAAGTCGTCCATATCGATCTTGATTTATATAGCAAGTATTTCACAGAGATTATTTGCAAGGGGTTGCTGAAAGTTTGTTCCCCATTATCCAAATTGCATTAATTCTTTAAAAAAGGCCATTTTTTTACGTTCAAGAAAATATGTATATATAAACATATACAAAATAATAAAGAATATGGATTGATAAGCGCGTTTGTCATCTTGCCTTCTTTTCTTTGTTGTTAGATTATCGGTCCACCATTTTGGCAATGGGTATTTTTCCTGTCATTGCTTTACCGACCCGCTGTATTATTTATTTATATAAACTCATAGCATAGCCGTTTTTGGTTTTGAATATATATATATATATATATATAGTTTGTGAGTATAAAGTAAGGATATCTTAAATATTATACCAGTCTTAAAATAGTGGTTTTGGATTCATTTAATTCATTAAAATCATTGCATATATACATTTTTAAAAAAAAAATTTTCTTTATAATACATTTAATGTAATTTTATTTTTTTCATAAATAATAATAAATGTTTGCAGGTAATTGAACTGACGAGGAGCGCAAATGGACTTTGGAAAAATATTGAAAGACAGACAATAGTGAATAAGTATGATCAATAAATAAGTTTTGTACTTCATTACTGTATACCTATTTTTGTTCTCTCCCTCATATATATATATATTCGGTCCACGGTGACTGACAACAATTGAAATTTTCATACATTTTCACACACTCACCAGGTAGTTCGCAACTCTTATTTATAAATATGAGCATTTTATAACCACTACATATAACCACACACAAAAACTAAACTTATCGAGGCGGGAAATGCCGAAGAATCAACATTACTTGCGGGCTGGGGAAACAAAATTTAAATCACCAGAAGGAAAAAAAAAAAGCTTGCCTAGGAAGTCCTCGATAGCAAAGTAAAAAATAGGCCCTCAGGAAAAGAGCCCAGCCTTAAAATCAAAATAAGTGCCAAACATTAGTCGTGATCAGTCGCTGGCCTCCTTTAATTGTCAGGTGTGGGTGACCTTTGCATAGTAGAAACCGATAGCCTCATCCAGTCTGATCTGTTAGTAGTGACAGTCCCTCACTACCTCTGATTTGTTTTTAGCTTGGCGGTGCCCATCTCCTCTCAAACAATACCGGGTCTTAATATCAGTTGCCCATATCAGAGCAAATAATTTCAATAGAGTATAAAGTAAGGGTACATTCTATAAATGCAGACCGGATTAAAAGAGCACAATGCAATATTTGAGATATATATAATGTGTGTATGTTCTGAATGACGGAATTTGATTGATTTACTTTTCAAGTAAACATTTGGTAGGTATAACGAACGTAATCTATATTGTTCCATTTTCGGAAATCTTCATTATTAATTATTCACATTTTTTTTCAGAAGCATACTGAATGATCACTAAGAAACAATGTTTTGTAATTTTTTCTATATGACTGACTCTGCAATTTCTGTCCATATTTACGCAGTAACTAATATATATATATATATATATATATATATATATATATATATATATATATATATATATATATGGTATCAAATGACAATAGGAAAAAAATCAATCTGTCTTGTCCACAGAATTCATCTGGGAATTTAACTAATATATATATATATATATATATATATATATATATGATCATACAATTTTAGGAGCAGATTTCGTAAATTTTCCCAAAACAAATTTTAATAGACAGAAACACACCTCAGCGCATTACTGGATGGGTAAAGGTTGAAATATATTATGATATTCTTTTCATTCTTCTGTAGATGATAGTTTGTTTTTTATTTTTTGTTTTTCGATTAGATTTTGCATACATTTTAATTGTTTTAATTTGTGTCAACGCTTAAAATTGACACACC